AGACCAGAGCGAAGAGATTAGGTGCATATAGAGCTACAAACGTCTTAGAGTTAATACATACGGACATTTGTGGGTCATTTCCTACACCTTCGTGGAATGGTCAACAATAATTTATATCATTCATAGACGATTACTCACGATATGCATACTTATTTCTTATACATGAAAAATCACAATCTCTGGACGTATTCAAAACATTTAAAGCTGAAGTTGAAAATCAACTCAACAAAAGAATTAAGTCTGTCAGGTCTGATCGTGGTGGTGAGTACTATGACAGATATGACGGGTCAGGTGAATAACGTCCAAGACCTTTTGCCAGGTACCTAGAGGAGTGTGAAATTGTCCCACAATATACCATGCCGGGATCACCTAGTATGAATGGTGTTACTGAAAGACGAAATCGGACTCTTAAAGATTTGGTCAGGAGTATGATTTGTCATTCCACCTTACCGGAGTCACTCTGGGGAGAGGCACTAAAAACGACAACTTATATTTTAAACAGAGTACCAACTAAAGCAGCTACCAAAACACCTTATGAGCTTTGGACTGGGTGACAGCCTAGTCTGAAGCATTTCCATGTGTGGGGATGTCCAGCTGAGGCAAGGCCTTATAAGCCAAATGAAAAGAAATTGGACTCTCGAACAGTAAGTAGTTATTTTATTGGTTATGCTGAAAGATCCAGGGGATATAAATTTTATGATCCCACATTAAAGACAATTTTTGAGACAGGAACTGCTACGTTCTTTGAGGATATTGAGTTTGGGGGGAAGAATAAAATTAGAAACTTTGTCTTGGAGGAAGAATCGGTAACAATTCCAGAACCGATTCAAACAGTTACTTTTGATAAAGTAAGTTTGGAACCTCCACAAGGCATTGTTAATGAACCCCTTACTCAAGATGATTTGGTTGTTCATGAAGAACAAACTCATGATCCTCAAGAACCTGTGCATCATGAAGTGCTATTTCAGATGATTACATGGTATTTCTTCAAGAACATGGGGAAAATAATGGTATGATGGAAGATGACCCAGTTAACTTCCGTCAAGCCATGAAAGGTTCTAACTCTAAAAAGTGGATTAAAGCAATGAAGGAGGAGTATAAGTCCATGCAAGACAACAAGGTTTGGGAACTTGTCCAATTACCAGAAGGTGTGAAACCCATTAGTTGCAAGTGGATATTCAAGACCAAATGGGATTCTAAAGGTAATGTGGAAAGGTATAAGGCTCGTTTGGTAGCTAAGGGCTATACCCAAAAGGAAGGGATTGACTTTAAAGAGACTTTCTCTCCAGTTTCATTGAAAGACTCTTTTAGGAAAATCATGGCTCTTGTAGCACATTATGATTTGGAGTTTCATCAAATGGATGTTAAGACGGCGTTTCTCAATGACAACATTGATGAGACGATTTATATGGTACAACCAAAAAATTTTGTGTAGGGAGATTCAAAGAATATGGTTTGCAAACTGACAAAATCCATTTATAGACTGAAACAAGCATCTCGTCAATGATACTATAAATTTCATCAAGTAATTCTCTCATTTGGCTTCGAGATGAATATTGTTGATGATTGTGTATATCACAGGTTTAAGGGGAGTAAGTATATTTTCCTGATCTTGTATGTTGATGACATTCTACTTGCCACTAATGATATAGGCATATTGCACGAAACCAAGAAATTTTTATCAAAGAATTTCGAAATGAAAGATCTTGGTGATGCGTCTTTTGTATTAGGAATTCAGATACACCGAGATCGATGTCGGGGTATTTTAGGATTATCACAAAGGAGCTATATCAAAAAAATTCTTAAAAGGTTTGACATGCATGAATGTAAATACGGGGATACTCCAGTTGGTAAGGGAGACAAGTTTAGTCTCAATCAATGCCCAAAGGGGAATCTGGAAATTGAGGAAATGCAAAAGATTTCCTATGCATCAACTGTAGGGAGTTTGATATATGCCCAAGTATGTACGCGTCCAGACATAGCATACATAGTTGGGGTTCTAGGCAGATATTTAAGCAATATAGGAATGGACCATTAGAAAGCAGCAAAAAGGGTCATGAGATATTTAAAGAGAACAAAAGATTACATGCTCACATACAGGAGGTCAGACCAGTTGGAGATCGCTGGGTTTTCTGACTCGAACTTTGTAGGATGTCAAGATAGTTTGAAATCCACTTCAGGTTACATTTTCATGTTAGCAGGTGGTGCGGTTTCTTGGCGCAGTGTCAAACAAGCCTTTACAGCTTCATCCACTATGGCAGCAGAATTTGTAGCATGTTATGAGGCGTCGAATCATGGAATATGACTGAGAAATTTTGTCACCGGGTTGCAAATTGTGAAAGGCATTGAAAGACCACTTAAGTTATATTGTGACAACAAATCAGCCGTATTGTATTCCAACAACAACAGAAGTTCGACTAAGTCAAAACACATCGACATTAAGTTCCTTGTTGTTAAGGAAAGAGTACAGAGTTGACAGATTTCCATAGAACATTTAGGGACAAACTCTATGATAGCAGATCCTCTAACTAAAGGACTTCTGCCCAAGGTCTTTCATGAGCATGTTTCTCACATGGGTGTTTTACAGTTTGAGGAATTTGTGGTTTAGTGGGAGTTAGTCACTTTTATATATTTTATATTCTATGTTTAATTTCATGTATGTATACATTGATTTTTTGGACATATTTGGTTATCTATAGATATGCGATTTTTCGTTCATTCATTACACTTTGTACATTAAGGTTATTATATCAATCTCGATAAGTTAAAGTTTGGACCAGTTGAAAATAGATGTGTACAGATCATCTTCACGTAGTTTTTCATGCTACACATTTCATGATGAATCCATGTCATTTGGTTATGTCAGGATGAGTAATCATTGTTGGTTTTAGTTGCGATGATGCAATGAAAAGCTGGTTTAGTTCTATATCCTGATATGATTAATGGACAGGACTTTTGGAGTATGTTAAAGGAATATAATGACAATTTTGAGCTCATAAAGTCTAACACATTTGTAAGGATGTAAGGACATATATATTTGTGACCAGTGGGAGACTATTGGAAAAATTTGGGTCATGTATATATATGATACATATTTAAATGTGTTAGGGTAATTATTTATTAAGCCAAATAAAAAAGTGATCTGACTAAATTAAAGTTTTGACTAAAGGCATATGACATGAAAATAAAATTGTGTAGAGACCATAGAGTAATTTCTAATTTGATGAGGGGCCAAATTGAAAATACTAAAACTTAAGTAATTAACCTAATTCTGGTTATTTAAGGGGTCATGGTCCCCTTCTGGGAGCACACACAGAACCTAAGTTACACTCTCGTTCCTTTCTTTCTATCCCCATCAAGAGAGAAAATCAAGAGGGAAATACATGTGCTCTTCAGGTGGAAGACCATAAGATCAATACAGTGCTCTATAAAGACAGACATCATCATTATGGCTAATTCAGGTACGCTTTCGCATCTAATTTACAACATGTTTCTTAATATGAGATTATATTTATGTTTGATCATTAAAATCAAGATTATAGTTATTATTAATTTTCCAACAATTATTTTATGGGATTCACTTTATTTTTCATATTTTGCTTTAATTAACATATAATCATATATATATATATATATATATATATATATATATATATATATATATATATATATATATATATATGTCATATTTTGAAATTTACTTGATTTAATACTCGGTTGGTCCAATTGGGTGATTATCAAATCAAGATGTATCCATTAACTAATTTCTTAGGACACATACTCCAAAACTTAATCTATATATAATCATATTAAAAACTTGAAATGTTTTGAGAAGAGTATAATTCTTTCTTTCTTTTTCAAGAACTTTTATTATTGGTGATATTGGAAGTAGAATACCACCGTTGTTTTACTTGTCTCATTGTTTAAGGGAGGCATAACTTTCTTCTCCAATATTCATCCCAAAACACTAAATTTGGAGCCCATTATTCCTTATTTCTTTTCCTTTCTTTTTTTTTTTTATTAATGACAAAAGAATATGATACTATTTTTATAAATTATTGATAACAAAAATATTATAAAAAAGATAAAAGAATAAGCTCTTTAAAATTATTGATAAATAAATTTCAAATTTTTTATGAAAATAGTATCATATTCTTTTGTTTTTTGTAATCAATAATAAAATATGACTAATTTTATGAAAATAAATAAAATAATCATTATGATCAAATATTATGATATCATATTTATCTTGATAAGATTGGTAGCATAAATGTTCTGTGAGGCGAATATGATTTTTAATAATATACTCTTATATATATATATATATATATATATATATATATATATTATTTTTGTTTACAAGTAGGGATCACACCAATAATTTTAAAGAGAATAAATAATAAATAATATGAAAATAGTGAAAAAACAAAACGATAAATCTATAAATATATATATATATATTTAATGATTATCAAGAAGCTTTATTATTCTTTTCCTAAAAAAATGTCTTAGATGATAATATATTTTAATTATTTACTTGTCATATATTTTTTATTGTTGAAAAGATTGCTGTAAAAATTTGAAAATTATAAGTTTCTATAAACGAATATTAAAGTTCTTTAATTATTTAAAAATAAAATAAAGAATATTAATTAAAAATCTATCTAATCAAATTTTAAATAATTCAACTTTTAAAATAACTTAACTGTATAATCTATAATAAAATATTCAATTTTAATCTTAAATAATTTTTGTTAAAAACTCCATTAAGAACAGTAATTAACAGGTTTAGAATATAAAACTTGAGCAAAGCGAATAAATTATTAGTTTGTTTTTTAAACCTAAAGAAGTCCAATGGTAAATTTTAAATTGCATGTGTGAACTATAATTCAACTTCCCCGCATAAACCAAAAACAATTTTCACCCTTTGGCTAGTTCCCATCCTAAAAAAGTACTTATGCAACCCATGCCAACACAATAGAGAGAGAAAAGCCACAGCGATGGCATTGGAACGACGACTTTTCGTATTCCGGGATCACTCACATCACAATATGTAACAATATATTTTACCGTTTCCTCTTCTCTTTCTCAATTGCTTTCTCTTTCTCAGATTACTACAATGTTTTCCTCTTCACCATTATTTACCCTTTTTGTTTAGTCTCAGATCCAACAATTTATACGTTGTCATGTTACAGTCTTTATGTGTTTGGAGGATTGGTGAAGTTGCTCAAGTCGCTGGAGGCAGCGGTTCATCGATCTCTTCCTGAAGTTATTTTACATCACAATCATGAATCGATCGATAAACCTCTGCATCCAGTGTTCAAACTTCCTTTCATTTTTTTTTTCCCTTTATTTTTTGTTCACTGTTCTTAAAAATAATAAATCATTACTTATTTTGCCCTGACACTGGTAGTAACCATTCTACTTTCATTTCTGGTGTTGTTTTGTTTATTCAGTCGTTAAGAGTAATTGATGAAGCTGTAGATGCTTATGCTTATACTAGGTGTTGTGGGGCTGATGTTCCAATTTTGTGTGGCTATTGTGGAGATCACAGATTCAACGTTTTATGGAGAACGTTGAATCCTGTGAAGTTTTTGATATATTTCCGTGCCTTTCTATTTTGCGGCTATTGATTAATAGTTCCTAAAGCTTTATGGAGAACGATTTGAAGATTGAAACCAACCCTGTTTTCTATTCTTTCCTAATTTTTCTCTTGCGCATTATTGCTCGGTCCATAACAAGTGACTGTATCCTTAGTTATTGGAATATCATGATATCTATAGAAAATATAAAATATATAACTTATCAAATTTTGGGTAAGATTAAGAGTGCATAGCTTGTTATACAGTTTATTAATTTTTTTTTTTCAATTTCTCAATATAAAATCTTGGGATATTTTTGCCACCAGTGTTATTTTTTGTTTACTTGCAATTTGAAAGATTTCTATTTTTTTTTTCAGAAAAACTACTGTTAATTTAGAATCATTGTGTAAAGAGTGATTTCCTTTTATTTACAGTAATGTGCTTTATTTACATCAGTGATGCGTGAAGGATTGTGAAATTTGGCAGATTCCTTTTGTGAAACTGAGAGCTTGATGTTTATGGCATTCATTGCGTTGATTGGTGGGAATGAAGTGTGGGTATGGAACAATTCACTTACTGTTCACTCTTGAGTGAAATTCTGTATGTGGATCATATACTTGAAATGGTTCAAAGCTTCATGCAGCCTCCTTTCTACCTTTGAAAAGATGCTAGTTTGCCATGCTATGTGGAAAAGCATGTGAAATGATTCCATTTATGTTTATCATATTGGAGTGAAGCTTCTTAAGGAAGCTCAGGGCTCAAGGGAATGAAAATTGCCTTAAATGTGTCATTTTCTCTGGCGTGAAAGGAAAGGTTAATCTGTTTTCCTTTTGGCATGAAAAGGTATCTTTGAATGTAGGTGTCCAATTGATAGGGAGCATAGTGCATATTACCTAATGTTATGTGCAAAGTATACCCAATTCAAAGCAACTTTCATACCGAAATCAACATTTCATTAACAAGGAATAAATATATGATTTTTATCAATCATAAATGTTATTAATATAACGTTACTTAAAAACACATTTATTTGAATAGATCAGTATGTTAGATTAAAAAGCAATTAACAGCTAAAATTCAACTTCTTCAATCAAATAATCATGTAAGAGGACCAATCTTATTCCCAACTTTTAAATTTACTCCCTTTCAAAGTCTAATTATTTTTATAAATAAGTTAGACTTTAAAAAAATTATTATAATTGATTTTTAAACAACTAAGTGTTTACTATTGTTATATTTTTAATATAATAAATAGTATTTATGTGACATCGTATTATAATTACATAATAAAATAAAACTAAGTTATATAGAAATATAAATGTTGTTAATATTTATTTAATGAAATCTTGAAATTTTTTTTCCAGAATTTACATTTAGTAGTTCAATGTTAAAATTGATTATTTAAAATATATACATGGAAGATATTATTGAAATCAATCATCATAAAAAATGAGTAATTTAATGATAAATTTTTTATCATATAATTTTCACATCACATTGAAATTTTAAGATAATAATCCATCAATCATGCATACAAAGAATAAGGGCTTAACTATCAATTTATAAGTTATATTTTACGTCATCACTCAATAACATCTATATGATAGCATTACTTTCCCTAAATAAATATATTTAACATATGTTTATGATTGAAAAACATTCCTGCAAGGTCAATTCCTATGACTTATTAGATACAATTCTCTTTCACATAATCTAAATCATAAAAATCTTTTTAACTCTTACCACTTGATATTTTCTTCTATTTGAGTCTAGTATCAATAGAGTGAAAATATCTTATTCAAAATTCAATACATCACCTACCTCTCAACATAATATTTCCTACTAAAAAACTATTATGTTTACTTTAACAAGACATCACATGAACATACATATACTTAACAAAAAACAATTCCATGTAATTTGTACATATCTTTGTCCATTCAAATATATATGAATACATATACATATGAGCCTTCTCATTTCATTTATATATACCAATACAAAAAATATCACATTTTGTAGCTATTGAAGTCATACATGTGGGAAGGAGTTTTAGCTTGAGTTTATCACTTTTGCTTGAGCAAAACTCCATCCAAATTTTCTCTTTTTTTCTTCCAAGTTTTTTTCCTTTTAACGAATTTCTCTTTACTTGGTCGAACAATATTTTGCTCAAGTGAAAATACTACAAACCTACACCTTACTCCCCTAAATATTTTTGCTTAAGCGAAAGATTTTCCCTTGAGCAAAAATGAATTTGAGACTCCTTTTTCTATTCTTTCTTGAAGTGTCCTTGCTTGTGTTAGAAAAGTAGTTTTAAATCAAGAGGGGGGGTAAATTGATTTTTGAAAGTTTTTCGCAATAAACAGATTATCTAATTCGAAAATTAAGTTTACTAATCAATTCACGAATCACAAAGCAATTAAACAATACAAGCGCAACAACTGAAATTAAAGAGAGAAAGGTTAGGAAAGATTTCACCGGTAATTTTATACTGGTTCACCCAATACCAGGGCTACGTCCAGTCTCCAGCCAAATTCCAGCTGGGTTCCACTAGAATAGATGTTTTACAGACTCAACAATCTTACACCTACTCTAACACAAGAACCAACTTCCAGTTCTTGCACTCAACCTTTCCACCAAGAACCAAATTCCAGTTCTTGGAAACCTCTGCAACCAAATTCCAGCCGCAGAGAACCCAGTACCCAAATTCCAGGCACCACACAGTATAACCACAAGAACCAAATTCCAGCTCCTGTGCTCAACCTCTTACCAAGAACCAAATTCCAGTTCTTGATAACCTCCACAACCAACTTCCAGCTGCAGAGAAAACTTGTGCCCAAATTCCAGGCACAACACAATACAAAAAAATGAAAAGCAATTGAAAAGAAGAAACTTAGAAAGCTCAAATCGGATTACGCTTATCCACTGTAAGTTCCTCCTTCAAAGAATGCAAAAGTGCCTCAAGAAAGATTTCAAAAGAAGTTCACAAAGCAGTTACGAATCTTTCTTGGAAAAGGATGCTTAACAGTTGCTTGAATTGATTGCTTTGTTTCTGTAAAAACTGATATTCAATCTGTTGTTTTAAAGTTTCAAGCAAAACTGTTTTTAAAGAGAATTTTCAAATCTGCTGCATTAATTAATCTGTTGAAAGTTTGTTTTAATCTGTTGAAATAGCCGTTATAATCTGTTAAAAGTCCTTTCAACCCATTAATGCGTTCTTGCTTCTTTAACAGAATCGTTTTAGCTGATACGACCACTTTTATATCAGTTAAAACATTTTACAAACTTTTTCTAAGTGTAAAACAATCGATTGAATCGCGTATTAATCGATTGATTTGTTTAAAAACCTTCTTATAAAACTTTCCAAGTTATTTTAGCTGATATAAAGTCGTTTTAATCGATTGAAAATCTGCACATATATTTTCAAGTCATTTTAATCGATTGAAATACATTTTAATCGATTGAAATAAGTCTGATCGGTCATAATTCAATTCTGATCGATCATAACCAACTCTGATCGGTCATAATTTCATTCTGATCGATCATCCTGACTTCCAAAGTGGTTTTAATCGATTGAAACGTGTTTTAATCGATTAAAATAAATCTGATCGCTCATTTTTAAAGTCTGATCGATTATATTTCATTCTGACCTGTCATATTCGAATTCTAATTGGTCATAAAGGGTTTTAATGGGTTTTAATCGATTAAAAGAAGTTTGTATCGATTAAAATACTTGTAAAAACACTTCTTTAAACATTCTAAGTGATTTTAATCGTTTCTTTCAAAGCAATATCGGTTAAAAACATTATTAAGAAAGTTCTTTGTCAAAATGCTTTTGTTTTTGATTTGTTTAAAACTATTTTTGAGGCATTTTGCAAATTGAGTGAAGGAGCTTCATGCGGTGGAAAAGGTAAAGTGGTTTTACCTAAGCTTTCGTTAAGACACACTAAGTCTTCAGCTCCATTCTTCGAGTGACTTGTTTGACTAGCTGCAGAGTTGACCCTTGACTTTATCTTTGACTTCATCAAATCAATGAGATCTTTGCTAGGATCACTTTCGGTCTCCCCTATTTGATGAAGACAAACACCATTTTGAAAAAAACAATCTCTCGCAAAATAAGTCACTTGATAATGCGGTTAAGTGAGAAATATAAGAATGTAATAAAGTTTTATTTCTCCCCCTAAAACTTATTTCTCCCCTAAACTTGTTGCTCTTAAATTTATCTTAAAGTGATGCAACTATTTCTCCCCCTTTTGACTTCATCAAAAATAGGGAATAGAAGAGAGAAGAATAAAATGTAAGGTTTCGAAAATATGCTCAAGTTTTTGAAAAATACAAAGTGAATCAATATTTCACTCATGAAAAGAATCAATTAAAGTTGATTCAAACTTATCTCCATTAACACGTTTGTAATGAATACAATTAACACGTGTAAAGATAAGGGAATCATGCTTTAGTAGCATGTTACGAGAACGACCATTAACTAAAGCCTTTAATTTTCCTTTTCCAGAATAAAAATCGATTAAAAATAGAGCATAATCGGTTAAAATGATCTTGGTAAATGATTTTAATCGATTGAAAGAAAGGTTTAATCGATTAAAACATTTAAGATTTTGAAAATATGAATTTTTAATAAAAACAATCGATTGTTTCGATTTTAAATCGATTAAAACAGTAATGAAATTTGCTGTTTAAGTTTATTTAACCGATTAAAAAGTGTTTTTATTAACTAAAACAACCAGATTTTGAAAATCATGATATATCCGATGTGAATATCTCAGTATCTAATCTATTGGATATGTAGTGAACTGATTGTCTAGATCAATATCAACTATTTTTCACCGATAATCTACCACTATCGATTTAATTTTAAATTTGGCTAATTTCTATCGTTATAAGACAGTTTTAAAAGGTTTTAATCGATCAATGCCCAGTTTTAAAAGTGATTCAGGGATCTATCATCTACTTCTATCTAAGCCAGTTCAATCTAGATTTAGATCCTAAATCATATTTAACCAAAGCTAGATCAAGAGTCCCTGGTATAACACCAGTTAATATCACAGTCCATGCAAACAATATAAAGATAGAAATAAG